TGCTCCGCTTCTGCTGGGGGGTGACGTTTCTCTGACAGAGTTGATCTGCCTCCCTTTCCCATGTTTTCATGTTGGCCAAGGAGTAAATACTTGGCAATAGTAGCACTGAATTAAAACCTGACTCTCCAGTGCCTGTGTTCGAACCCCCGCCCGATGCCTTTGACTGGTCCTGCCACTCCCCAGGGGATGGTTGGGGGGTGGGAATTACCTGGCCCTTCAGTAAAGTTTGCCTGACGCCTGTCTCGCCTCCAAGCACAGCTGATGGTTGCTGAGACCTCTGCCTCAGCTCAGGCGCCTGCTGTTGCTGTGTCTGGGACTGCTGATGAGCCTCTGGTTTATACTTCATCAGGGATGTGGACCCAGGCAGAAAATGGCCCATTGGAACTAAATCACGGCATGATCTTCATCTGTCAGTGCGACTGGAAAATGTAGAACACAGAAACGCCTTTCAGATGTTCTCTTGACAGACACTGAGCAGTTGTTCTCCCTGGTTGAAAGTGCTGATTTCTGCCCCTCCTCCCCTCCCATCCCCTCGTGTTTCACCAGGTGGTGGAGGGGAAAGCAACGGCCTGGATACAGCCACTGAAGATGTTCATCCCTGCTCCAGAAACACAGAACTCGGTTCTCCGTCTGGTACAATGCTCACGGAAGAGCAGCAGCAGCGGATCAGGAAGAACAGGCAGCTGGCCTTGGAGCGTAGGCAAGCCAAGATGCAGAGCAACAGCCAGTCGCAACACAAGGGTAATCAGCTCCAACTGAAGGGTTAATGGTGAGGGCGGTGGCGGGGGGAGCCTGCACACCTGGGCTGCTGCACCAGGCTGTAGGGAGTGGTGACTGCCTTGCCACCAAGCTGCTGAGTGTGCAGCCTGGATGTAGGCCTGTTCTTGTACTTGGACTCCTCCAGAGCCAAGTCGGAACTCCTCTCCCTCCTCATGCCAAGTTGTGATAGCTTTCTCTTTGGTGACATCAAACTCATTTTGGTCACCTCTGGATTGGCTTTCCTGCAGGCTGCGTTCGGGGGGACGGAGCCGCAGATGGAACGCGCAGCGGCTGTGTTCCTGATAGTAGGAAACCAGTTTTGGTTTGGTTTGTTTTTTCAGCAGAGCTCTCCACTGGTTACTCAGAAGAGGAGTTTCCTACCCCAGTTGCTCAGGACCCCGCAGACCTCGTCGAAGACACTCAAGTTACCACAACCGTGGCTGCTGTTACAGAAGCTGAAGACGGAGCTGTAGCATTGGAATGTGCCAGCGGAAAGCAGTAACCCTTCCCACGCTTGGGATGACTCTTGACCAAACAACCCAGTGTTTGAAGTACTGTTTTTGCACTGAGTGTCGCTCTTTGTGCTCCAACTCCAGAAGTTTCAGGGAAGTCTTCACCGCGACATCTGCTGAGTGGACAGAACACTCCTCTTGAAGCTGCAGACAGGCATCTCCGTACATTGGGGACCAGAACAAAGCTTTTCATCTACGTTTCAGATGCCTTTTTCACCTTCTCCCTGTTACTCAGGCGATGTTAACGAGTTCTTTCAATTGTTTACAGTTGACGCTCAACTTGAGTGAACGGGGCTGTTGAGAGGTGAGGTTCCAGTTCCAGTTGTGGTGGGGTTTTCACAGGGGGCCTGTATGGTGGTGGGTAGTGCTGTGTCTGACTGGCTGTCCTGGGTTTTTTAACTTGCCTGCCCAGTACCTGTGGTGTTATCTTTTAATAAAATGGAAGCTGTTACGTTTCAGAAGCCAAACCCCTTATTACAAACCCTCCAACCTTCCCCTGTGCTTGTCGGGCATCTCTTCAGACCAGTACGTCCCCTCAGGGCTTGGACCAGCTCCGTTACCTTCCTCTGGCTGATTGTGGTTGGAGGCTGTTTCACTCTCCTCTTAGTTTCCCCTTTCGTGGAACAAACAATCACCACCGTGCCCTCTGCCATAGCCCCGGGTTGGCTGTTTGCAGCAGAAACCAAGTGTCTAGAAACTGAACTAGGAAAGAGCAGCACGAGGAGCAGATGAAACGAGGCCCTGTCAAGGGGTGGTATTTTGAGGCAGACATTGTGCTGCCGGGTTTCAATAACAGAATTCTGTAGGGTAAGTTAGTGTGAAGGAGTTGACTATATCCTTGTAACTACGTGTTGAACTCCCTAAACCAGCGTGGAAGGGAGCCTGGAGAAGGCTCCGGTGTGACCTGAGAGCCTCTTCCTGTGCCTGGGGAGGGGCTACAGGAAAGCTGGGGGGACTTTTTCCAAGGGCAGGGAGTGACAGGACAAGGGGTGACGGGTTTAAACAGAAAGAGGGAGATTGAGATGGGCCATCAGGAAGGAATTCTTCCCGCAGAGGGTGGGGAGCACTGGGACAGGTTGCCCAGAGAAGCTGTGGATGCCCCATCCCTGGGAGTGCCCAAGGCCAGGCTGGATGTGGCTTGGAGCACCCTGGGCTATGGAAGGTGTCCCTGCCCATGGCAGGGGGGGGGGCTGGGGGGGCTTTAAGGTCCCTTCCAACCCAAACCATTCCCTGATTCTATGAAAGTACTTGAGTTTTCAGGGCTTTATAGACAACAAAGGAAAATAACACTCTGCATGACAGTTAAAAGAATTCATGACACCAGCTTTAGTCTGGAAGATGAGATTTATCATGTATAAAATCTTTTAGAAACTCACATATTCATAATCTGATAAAAATAATTCTTATTTAAAATAGACACAGGGTTTCTTAGTAAAAGGACTTGGGAGTACACAGACCACTTTAAAAACCAGCCCCAGAGCTGAATGGGACCAAGTGAACAGGAGAACATCACCCAGCAGCTGCTGGTAGCTGCAGTTCAAGTTGCAATGTCAGCTGAAACATCCAACAGTGCCAAATCCCTGATCTCCTCCAGCAGCTGGTACAAGCTCGCTCCCTTGGTCTGGCAGTACTCCCGATAGTCTTCCTCAGGGACTTCGGCTCGTGCTGCCTCCTGGGCGCGCTGGGCTGCCTCTGCGGACTGGCTGACCTCTTTCACCAGGTCAGACTTGACCCTGTGAAAACCCTCCGGGGACAGCTCGGTGGCTGGAGCCTGGTACGGCACGTTCCTGACAATTTCAAGCTTGATCGTGTCGGCATGGCAGCGGGAAGTCTGCACAAGTATTTTCACCTTAAAAGCAACATAAAAAGACTTATTTCCGAGGCACGATTTCCCTCTTACTTCCTTCAGAAGAAATACTCACTGTAATGTGATCGAAAAGGCTCAGTGTAACCGATTCTCCAGTAGTTGTGGTGGAAGTAATTTTACTCTGAAAGCGGTGAAGCGATCCAGGCTTCCACTCGCAGCTCCTGTCACCCTGACAAGAGATGACTAAGCCTTCCTTGGTCTTCATGTACGCAGCGCCTTTGATTCCGTACCTGCAGAGGAGCAGACAGAAGCTGTTCTAACCGTTTCCACCCCCAGCAGCTCAGTTCGGAAACCCACAGGCGGCTCGCTAGGTTACATAAAAGCACCCTGAAGGGGCAGGCGCCGCAGCCTGATGGCCCTGCTTCAGGGCGCTGGTGCGGGTTGTCAAAGGACGCCCGAGAGCATCTGAGAGCAGTGACTGACGCGTGTTGAGAGCAGTGAGGCGTTATCTGGCGTGTTGGGTGGAGCCTGGAAAGGCAGGATGATGGGAGAAGAGCTGCATTACAGGTTATTCCAGACAGCTCGGTGAGGAAAGAGTTCTCATTAAAACCCAGTTAGAGTAACAGAAGGGTTTGGGGTTGGAAGGGACCTTAAAACCCCCCCAGCCCCACCCCCTGCCATGGGCAGGGACACCTTCCATAGCCCAGGGTGCTCCAAGCCTCATCCAGCCTGGCCTTGGACACTCCCAGGGATGGGGCATCCACAGCTTCTCTGGGCAACCTGTCCCAGTGCCTCCCCCCCCTCTACGTGAAGCACTTCTTCCTGATATCTAATCTAAACCTCCCCACTTTCAATTTAAACCCGTTACCCCTTGTCCTGTCACTACAGGCCCTTGTAAAAAGTCCCCCCCAGCTTCCTTGCAGGCCCCCCCTTGTGACGTAAGGACCAGCAGCGCACTTGCGCTGGGGTCTCTGGAAGGAAGCCGCTCGTGGCTCCTCAGCTGCGCACCCCAGCCATCTGGAACGCTGGAGATGCCCGGCCTACACCGAGCTGGTTTCTATCCAAGCTCAGGTCTGTGGCCAGGATCAAGCAGCCCCTGGCTGTATTCATGGAAGCCCAGGATATTTGTGTAATGGTTCGTTTTATCTAACATCCCCACAGAATGTTTTTCAGCAGTTTCTTTTTTTTAAAGGAGAGTTCTTAGGCCTGTGTTCCGCTAGCTAGCCAGGCAGGCAGTGCTGCTACCAGTAATGCACCGACATGAAGGTCATTGACTCCTCCAGAGTGTCCGGAGCCAGTAAGGGAAAGGAAAGGTAGTTCTCGGTGCCCAGCCTGAAGAGCTGGCCGAGCCTTACAGAAGGCGGCGCTCCCCCGTTCCGCGGTGCCTAGTGCTGCCTTGCCGCATTCACCAGGCGGTTTGTAACATAGGCAGAACGCGGCTTCTTCAAACTTCAAACTACAGATTTAAAAGCTCAGAAAGTAAACTGTAATGCCAGCTTCCTGCAACGAGTTGCTTTCTGCCAGCATAAATCCTAAGTGCCTGTGAGTCGACCCAGCCTCCAGGAGCCTGACTGGCGTAAACACCACGTGAACACTGGCGTAAACTCCCACGCTTCCCTGCGGCCTGTGAAGAGTAGCTGTGCAAAAGGCGCTCCCAGCCTGCACAAACTACAGGCTAGCGAAGGAAGAGAGCCCTAGGAATGCATGGCTCTCATCACTTCCTATTGTTTTTAAAAAAAGGAGGGAATAACTCTAGTCTTTGTTCTGCCCTAGCAGCAGCTTGGGCAAAAAACGTCCTTTTAGTGTTTTGAAATAAATACCACGGTGCAGTACGGTCTTAGCATTTCCTCAGAGTCAAGGGCCAGCACCAGCCCCTGCTGTAAACACCCCCCTTCCCAAGGGACAGAGGTGTCCTTGCACTGTCCTAGTAGCACTTCGGCCTCAGTGCTAAGCTCAGTCCGAGCTCCATCAGCTCACCTTGGTACAAAAACGAGCACGCCGTTGGTTCGAATGGAGTAAATAACACCGTCTGCTATGCAGCGCTCCTCTGCCCCGGGGGCTGTGTCCTTGAAGTACATGCACTGGAAGAGCTCAGTAGACTGTTTCTGGGCACGCTGGGCTGCCTGCAAACACACCCCCAGATAAGGAGAGAAAACCAACTAAAGAAATATCTCAATGAGCTTGTTTGGCTGGATTTCCAGAGATCCTTTTCCCCATTCCTTGCTCCCTTACCCATCCCCTAGAAAAGTTCCATCTAAACAGAAATCCTGCGTGTAGCACAGGTGGATTACGAGGTCACTTTTACTGCCACTCAAGAAAACTGGTATTTAAGTAAAAAAACCCCAAAGCATTATAAATAAAACTGAGCATTACTCTGCTGCTGTAGTAGCCACACTCAGGACCAGCATCCCATTCCGCTGGGCAGCATCCAAACACACGGAGACGGGCACCATGACCATCTTACCCGGTTTCTGTTATTGATGTGCCTGCACAGTTCCTGAAGATCCTTGTTACTGAACACACAGTCCTTAACATCTCCTTCAGCTCCGTTCAGAGTTGCTGCCGTCAAGAGCCTGTGGACAACGACATCGGCGTATCTTCTGATGGGAGAAGTGAAGTGAGTGTACTGCTCTAGGGCGAGTCCTACGAAGAAAACAGGACGTTGTGTAAAACAGGCGACTGCCTCCTGCCCCTGAGCCCAGACTAACAAGAGGCAGAGGAGTGAGAAGATACCATAATGCTGAAACTCGTCCTGGGGACAAGAGCCCGTTGAGAAGTACAGTGCGTTGGACATCGCGTGAGTGGCCATAGAACGCAGCAGTTTGTTTACAATGGGATCCGATGGGTCGTGTGCTTTATCCAGAGACTCGGCCAATGCTTTGTTAGACCTGTCAAAGTGTTAATTATGAATAAAATTATGCGATCCCTGATCATCCTAACTTAGCGTTAAAAATAGCATACAAAAGCCCACAAAAATTAAGTTATTAATAGAAAAATAGGAATGTCAAGCAAAATGCTGTTAAACCTTCAGCACCATTTAGTAACAGCTCTGCTCTAGGAAAATGTGTAGGAACAAAGCCAGTTTTCACCAACACGCCTGTCTTCTGCAACCTGGGCAACCAAGGAGGACTGGAGCCAAGCCCCATTCTATGCTGTGCAACACGGATGGTGCGCCGGTCCAAA